TGTGATTTGTTAAAATATCATTATTGAACAAATAATGATGACCAAAGGACAAAGAGGTAATTGATAAAGTTGCAGAGAAGTTAAAAGCAGAGTTAGGTTACACAACCAGCTCCAATCCATCACCCAAAAATGCAAAGATTGTGACGCAACTGCAAATAATCCAAGACATGGTCGTCCACCTCAACTGGCCGGCCTGGATACCGTTAGTCAAAAATGTAGCTAAGAGGCTCCAGTTAACTCTGGAGGAGCTGCAGAGATGCACAGCTGAGGTGGGGGGATTTTATGTCGCCGAGACAGCGATTTGCTCAGCACAAATTTGGTCTTAATAGAACCATAGCAAGAAGAAAACTGGAATACAAAAACAAAATTTTACTTCCCACCTATAATCTAAATCCATACTGCTCACATCCGTGACAGCAGCATCATGCTGTGGGTTTGCATTCCTTCAGGTCAACAAAGATAGGAATGGCTCAATAAAAGTCCACACACAAATTCGAAGGATAATCTGTGGTAAAACTTGAATATTGATGTTCAGTGATGATTGCCATTGAATCTGCCAGAGCTTGTCATAATTTGCAAGAAGATTTGTGAAAATTTCCATTTGTAGACATGGAAACGGAAATTTGCATGTGTACAAATTTGCTGCATTCCGCTTGCAGCTGGAATAATGCAAGTGTGCATTCCAACTGCACACTTGTAGCTGTAATGGTAATGAAAGGCGGTTCTATTAAGCACAAAATCAGAGGACTGAATTCAGATGAACTTTTCAAATATTTGCAAAAATCCTCTCCAAACTTATGTGCTTATCCTTATACTTTATAATTAAGTCCGACTTCCTGTTGGTATATCACATAAAGTAGAAAAACCCATTGACGTTTTTACAAATCCTCTCACCTCTTCTCCTCTTTGACCCTCTGCTGTTCCTCCTGACGTATTGTCCGCACCATGACAGACTCATGGCCACCGCCGGTAATAGTAGCCAGATACCGAGAAGCCTGCCTCCTTCGTGTTGAGGTTCCCCCAGAGCCTCGCTCCTCCTCTGCACCAAAACAACCTTTAGAGGTGACTGCCAGGGATGTCTTTTCTCGCAGCACTCTGGTGTGACACATCAAGATAATATTCTGACATGGGCTTGAAAAATAGTTATCAGTCTGCAGTCATGTCAACTGAAATTAAACTCTATTTTAGATTTACACTATTTCAAGCAGTTTTTGGTAAGAGGTGTTGCTCTTACCTGGAAAGTAATGTAAGCTTCTGCTCCAGCATGATTTCCAGCTTTTGAGCCTGTTTGGATATCCAGTGGTCCACCCCATAGTATCGATAACAGTTCTCTAACATAAGCCTGAAGTCTGCAACAAACTCTGTTATGTTCTCATACTCCTGGTTTATAAACTTCTCCTCAATGCGATGCAAGCACATTGACTGCCTAAGCTGAGCCTGAACCTGGCCCTGAACCCCTTCTATGCCATGCTGCGTGTCATGGTGACCAATAGGATGGAGAAACGTGCTGGTTATCCCTTTGTGCTTGTCCAACAAAAAGACTGTGAATATTTTATAGGCTTGCTGAATCTCGTAGTTCATATCATCTTCAAAGCTGTTGCTGTTAGTGGAAATGCAGACTTCAGGTAGTGAGAGGTCACTGCTTGGAAACGCAGACAAGCCATCTTCGCCAGGACTGCGTAATGGTACCACAGCCTCTGGTTCCCAGGTGCCGTTAGTGTGTTTTTCTTCGGATCTGGTTATATCTCCAGAGCTACTGCTAATCCATTTCATTTGTACAGGCATGTGAGCTGTGGGCTCCAGTGTTACGGAGTTTTGGTCTGTCACAGTCGGATCTGTCATGTCCTTCTGATCCATGGCACAAACACCTGGGAAGAATAACATATTGCTAATGGGAAACTTTAATGTGCAAAAACACTCCATCTAAATGGAAGCTGGATCTGCAAAATGTGATGGTCCAACTCAGAAGATAGGAACAGAAATATTTATAACAGTGACCCTATTTAAAAAGTGAAATTCACACTTCACATATTGGCAAACTGAGTTATGCATTTCTTTAATCCTTTAGTTCTATTCAGACCAATGAAAACATAGAATTTAGTTTTTAAAAAGACTAGAATATTGGAATGTAAACTAGCTTCATAATAATAAAGACATTATCATGTCTTCATTATTACATTAGCATGTCTTTATTAGATTATTATAAAATCGATAACTATATGTATTGATTTAGTTATATTCATAAATATATTATTTTTTAGACATAGAGTTTTTCAAAGATATACCAATATATATCTGTTATGCACTTTAAAGTGTCAAGCCTTTATATAAGTAGAAGCAACTAAATCACAGCACTTATATTGCTAGCTCATAGTCAGAATCCCTGTCACGCAAGTCTGACTTTATGTCTCCTGCACCTCTCAAACTTTTCCTTTCCAAGAATTAACAGCTAGTTAGGCTAAAGTTAGCCACATCGAGTTAGCCAATAAAACAAAGCCGGTGAAAAAGTTTGAAAAATAAATCTACCTTATCATATCTCGCATATGAACGCATGCAAAAGGGGAGCTAAACAACTTCGACCAAGGGCAAACTTTGGCTACTTCAGCAACATACCTTGACGTTTTCAGTGGGGCTTCTCTTAAGGTAGCTCTTAGCAAGCTTAGCAGCCACGGCAAGCCTGCTATAGCTAGGTTAGCTGGCTATTGTCTCTCACTTGAGGCCTGCAATTGCTCCGCTCACCATCCATCGTAGATGTTTTTTAAGTACATTTAAGGTCCAGTAGGTAGAAAGTTACACAGTCTTCTCAGTGTCGTCATCGCACGGAATGATGTCAGTGGTAGCAGGGAAAGCTAACGAAGCATTAGCCGAAGTAACAGTAGCTGATTGTCTGATAATACATAACAGTTAATTTTCACCACCTATGACGCTAATCACAAATTGTCAAATTTACGTCTGCTTCAAAACCTCTGCGCTCACTTTAGACACAGTTTCGCAGCAAGTGTCGCGTTCAGAAGCCCTGCCGATTCAGTCTGAATACTGTGAAACAATACAGAAGCGTCCAGTCCACCAAAGATGCTTTACGTCCACCCGACGCAAATGTGTGCACTCTGACGTAACGATCTCGTTCCTGCGTCACTCAGGTTTGTTTTCATTCTGGAGGAAGCCCAAAACCTGTTTTTTTTTCATACACTAGATAATAATCAGTCGTTTTTAAATATGTGTACTTGGAGACTCTAAGAGAAAAAGTAAAATAATAATAATAATTAAGAAATAAACCAAAAGGCACTGTGCTTAGATTTGAAGCGGTTTTTTAGTTAGCAAAAAAAAATCACTTATATTTAGCTTTTCTGCTTCTGTAGGGGTGCGTTATCACTAACATAAAAACACATAAATGAGGAGAAATACAAATATCATTGAAGTGATGTTTTTTTCCTAAAATCCGAGCTTTATTTTCAACATGATTACTTTATTCTGCAAATTATTACATTAAAATAAAACTTTTATCGGATTATTTGCCCCAGTTTTAAATTCTAATAAGTAACAGGAAATAAAAGCGTTTTCTCCCAACTTAAAGCATTGCTCCATTATGACCGCTAGATGTCGCGTGTCAACATTACAGGTTCCAATGTGGAACAGAGTAAAATTTCCCCTTTTCCTTACATCTCAGGTTTCTCATTATGCAGTAAGCACAAAATCTAGCATAAAACAACGACATAGTAGGTGTTTTGTCCGTGTCTATGGATGACCATGCCACTCTGTTCGACTGCATATATTAATGATCTCTGATCAGACACGTTCTCCGTTCTCAGCCAATTATCATCTTGGAAAAAACACGGGGTATACATGTTCCACAGAAAGAATACATTATACATACAATACATAAAACAAAACATCTTTGTTTTTTGTAACCATTTGCTTTGCTTAGATATTCATGTAAAAGCTCATATAATTACTTCTGGGTAAATTTTCTTAACACAGCATATGCTATGTCAACAATTAGTTTATTTGAGACATCCAGGGAGCATTTATGACTCCAGGAGCTGAAAAAAATGTCTGGTTAGAGTTAGTAAAACATGATGAGAAATTAAAAATATGTTTGCAAAATGATCAAAATTTACATTGATTTAAAACTGTGACTTTGGGAATGTTTGTTTTTTACGTCTGGGAAAACACAACAACAACAAAAACACTTCATATTTACACTTATGGAGTATGAAAAATACAATAAGTTTTTTTTCTTCTCACACCATATTTTGTTCATCTTACATGTCCAGAAGGAATTTATTTGAGCCTAGTGCACAATCATGGGATTGAGTGCTAAGCACAATAATAATAATAATAATAACAATAATAATAATAATAATAATAATAATAATAATAATAATAATAATAATAATAATAATAATAATAATAATAATAATAATAATAAATAAATATATAAGTCTCCAGCATAATGCAGAGGTTATGGACTTGTGTGTTGATGACTCCATGGCTTTACAAAATTAGAATTGTTGCCCCTCCGAATCTTTGTAGAAATCTAAATAAATGAATGAAAATGTTTGTAGTAACACTTTTATAAATGAATGTCCATAAAAGAGCCATCTTACACGTTTGGCTTTTTTTTGCTATTTCACTGGTTTATTGTGAAACAGACCACTAAATTGTAATTTAAAAAAGCACCAGAGATTACTGACGCTATAGTGAACAGGTTGGGCCCCAAATCTCATTCTGCTTCTGGCCCTATGCATTCCTGGGCCCCGGCTCTGCCCTGTCTGGAGACTGAATGAAAAACACAAAACAAAGAAGCCACTCTTGAGAAGGATTAAGTGTCACTGCAAGATGGTGTCCTAATATCATTGTACCAAATAACATATAGAAACAATTTCATTTGTCAAAAAAGGGGCTTTAAATGCAACATTATGAGGCATCATTGCGTTACAAATCTGTAGCTACTTGTTAGGGCTCAAATCTCGCTCATGTGAAAATAGAGAGCTGTTTCTTTAAAGGCGCCCAGATCTCCGCTTAACGTTACTTCGCGAGATTTGCTTGGCGCCGCGACCTCATGTGAGACACCTCCTGCTTGAGAGCCAGTCCGACGTTACCTCTGCAGAGGAAAACGCAACGGAGCGCCCCAAAAATGGTTTATTTCCGTCTCATCTGAGCCCCCCCCAAAAAACACGTTTGTACCGAGAAAGACTTTTTCGCCCATTGTTTATTCGAGGCCTAGCCGGGGGCGCCGCGCAACGATGTGGATCCAGGTTCGCACGATAGACGGGAAGGAGACGCGAACCGTTGAGGATCTTTCTCGGCTGACCAAAATTGAGTCTTTACGGCTGAAAATACAGGACATCTTCAATGTGAGCCCCCAACAGCAGCGCCTCTTCTACCGAGGGAAGCAGGTAAACCCACTTCTGCCTGTCAGCCCCCGTCACGCAGCAGCCAGTTTTGACGCTTTGACAAGGGGGGTTGACTTCAGTGGTCCTCCTCCCTGTGCTCAAGTCTTTTTCGGACCCCGTGCGAGCTTCCTGTTTTGATAGAAAATCCGCCAACAGGTCTTGCGAAAGATCTCCGACTGGCATCCTATCGGGACGATTGGGGTTAACGTTAGCTCTCCGTGCGCTTCACAAATGGCGTGGACATGTTTGTTTACATTGCTAGTGCAGAGAAACGGGAACGCAGCACTTTGTTTCCACATGTGGCTCCGCGGAGTACGCTGCAAACTAGCACATCCACTAGCCGTTTCTAGCTGGATAAACGACAGAGCTCCAAATGCGACTTCAGATTTCTATTTCGCATGCATAACGACGTCGCAGCGTTATTTAAACTCCACAGATCCTTTTAGAAAGTCTTCATTATTGTTTAATGGGGTAGATCACCCTGGAGCCCACACGTGCCTTGAAGCAAGTGTATTTGTTTACACCCTAGCGTCACCACCATGCGCACAATGCACAGTGTGCACACTCAGTGTCTGCATAGTGTAAAGAAACCTGTTCTCATGTGGCAGTGCTGTTCCCCCAAGTTGCACTTGTGTGATGTCTAACAAAGGCGCCACTGATGGATCTCTGGCATGTTTTGTTAGACAAATTCTTTACTGAAGTCACACATCACAATAAAGCACAAATATTATGCTGTGTTTAATAAAGCCATACATTTAAGCACCGTCACAGTGTAAGTGAACAATTACATGTCATCACTTTATGTTATGCAGAAAAATGTGTTTGTGGAAATGTGTAATCAGGTCAGCCACAGAGTTATTAATTTGTGCTTCAGATCCTCTGTGTATTCTATGTGTAACATATTTGGAAGGAACAAAATCATTTCAATAAAGAGAATTTCATAATAATGACAATAACATTTAGGTTTTATATTTTTTCTTTTTTTGATTGTTCCCTCTTACAATGGTTCCACTGAAATTTGATCCTGAGACAGCTTTAATTTATCTTCAGTGCCCCCTTACAGAGAGAGCCCAGCTGAGCAGAACGGTAAAATATCTGTGCAGATTGCACACTACCACTAAGTCTGTCATTTGTGTAAACCAGAAATGTGTGAACAAGTTTATGCAGGGTTTTTGCTTTGAGACCGAAGGCCCTTTTTGACATTTACTACAGAATGAGAATGATAAATCTATGAGAAAAATCATTAAGTTAAGTGAATGACACCTGACGAAGATCTGCAATTGATGACATCTTATTTATAGCTGGTGGGAAAAAATATTTTTATTATAGTGTTTGTTTTATTTTGATAGACAAACTTCAATAGATTGCGTTTGTAAATCTACATATATGTTTTATTCATAGGTGGCCTCGTAGAACCAAGCTTAGAAAAAAAATGTGTAAAAAGAATAATTGTATGTAGTGTTTAGTTGTTAGTAATAACCTCTGAAGCATATTTAAAAATGGCTGTTTACTTTGAACTCACTTGTTTTTATGAGGAATATTTTTGGGTTGGTTCCTCAAAGTCAAACTTGGTACTTGCTAATACCGATTTTAGCCCATTTTAATTTCCCCCTCAGATCTACAATGCAAAGACATTATAGGAATATTATTTTTGAAATATTAAATGAAGACTTTATGTCAAGGATTATGATTTGCATTTTGAAACAAAGACAATGATTATGGAGTTTATGTTTTTTTTTTTGCTTGCTCTACTGGTGATTAACAGAGTTAGAAACAATAACATAGTAGATAGTGTTACCAAACAATGTAAATGTTTACGTTGTGAGATTTCCAAAGGACTTTCGTTCATCCTGTCTGTTAATAGAGTTGCGCTCTCTTACTCTGTCACACAAAGTAAATCAGATATTTCATAGAACATAAAATTTACTTTACAAACAGGTTTCCACATCATTAGGATTTCTCTTACTTATTTTTTAATACCAAACACTGAAAATAATTATTTTAAGTTGTCACCACACAGAAGAATGTTGTTGTTAATGAGCCTGGTTGTATTGAAGTATACTGCATGTATTGAAGTATACTGCATGTATTGAAGTATATTGCATGTATTGAAGTATACTGCATGTATTGAAGTATACTGCATTCACTAAAACGATCACGATTTAGGTCGATCAAGACAAAATTGATTTTTGATTTTCTGATTTTTTCATGCAAGTGAATTTTTGACCAATACAATAATTTTTTTCGAGACCTCTTTAACAACTTTGATTATAAAGTCATAGGTCAGAGTTCAATCTATCATGGTAAGGTTTGACATTACATCTACCCGAAAATGTCTTTCTGTGAGCAAGTTGTATGAAATATTTTCTTTCTTGAATTGGAAAGCTTTGGATATGTTACCTATATTTGAAGACAATAAAAGTTGCAAGCTCCTTAAACAAGATTAATTTATGCATGTTTGTGTATGTCACTATGCTTGGCTACCTATGGTGAGCAGCTTTTAAAGCAGCAGGTTTACTCTTGAGTTCATCTAGTTTTAATGGAGTTGTCTTCCTGTTCGAAGGGAATTGTTATTCACCACTGCTGCCACATGTTTCCTCAGAATATAGAAGTCTTTATTTCCTGACAAAAGTAGTCCATAACATTTAAAAATAAAATGTAAAATAAATAATTGAGTGAAAAAGAGAGACGCATTCATCACAAAACAGTCATTCCAATATGTATGAAAGCTTGAGGTAAATCTTGTTTTGCTATATGTCACAGTTGACAGAGCTCTTACTATTAAGTTGTGTGACACTTTCAAGACTTGTAGTTCCTCTGTATGGTATAAAATAGATATTAAGTAATGCCTCATTTGCATTGAGTTGTTGAGGTTCGGTGCACTATTTCATTTGTTTTTATTGCAAAATAGGTCCATAATGCAACCAACCAATTCCTGAAACCCTTTCGGTTGTAGGTGCACAGGACAATGGTACTACTGGTTAGGGCGGAGCTACTGGCATCACACAAACATTTAGCCCTTCCTTCCCAGTGAGAGCCCAATGTTCTAATGAATATGGCGGACCATGAAGTAGCATACTGAACTGCACTGATGTGAGCTGTACCGCTGAGAGGAAAGGATGCACAATTGACATTAAATGATAAGCTGATTTTATAGAACTAGACTATATGGAACTGAATCTCTGTGACTATACCAATTGTATTGTATTATGAAGAAAAGCATGTATATAAAGAAAATGTAAATTGAAAAATGATTCTATAATTGGCTATATCTTTGACCTATTTGTCTTATTTAACTGTATTTAATAAAGAATTTGTCATATTTGCACTACTGATAAGCTTAAGTGTAGCTTAAACCTGAACATAATTTTTTTGTTCATGCAAATATTTCTACAAACAGATCTGTCGTCTGTTTGCGCCTGCGTTTATTCTGAGTTTTCTCGTTGTACTGACTTGGTGAGTCAGCTAAACATTATAGCCCCGGGAAAGGCTGCACCGTATGGTATGCTGATCTCACTTTGCTGATATTCAGTCATACCTGTTGATGTATGTCAGGCAGAAGATTTTTGTTCTACGAGAGATTGAGAAGTCGGACCTCATTGACTCATCTAGATGAGTCAGTTTGGGTTCTGCAAGTTGGACACTCTCTCCTGCTCACTTAGGAAAAAAATAGCACTTAAGGAAGTGGTTTCAAATTGTTCCCCTAAAAATAGTTATGCTCAATAAGAAAATGTCTGTTTTGCTTATCGTTTGTAAGCCACTCAACACAACTACTTTTACATTAAAGAATGTTTGCCCTGAAGCGGGTCACAGTGTTAATAAATGATAGGAGTATTCATTTGATCATTTGTTAACCTGAAGTTGGTCCTGGTTGTTGCCCATCCGGTGTTGTAAATCCCCTACTTCCTTTATTCCAATGGAAAACAAGTGGAGAGCCTTGGTCATGGGCTTTCCATGTGTTAAGTAATGTATGGAATGAGCTTGTACACTGACATGCACTCTGGTGTCTGAGGTCTGTTAGGATTTAGGCTCGTAGCTCGGCAACTCAGTCTAATTCCCTTTTCAAAATGGCGTCTTGTTTTTCCCTCCAGCTCTCTGCTCTCGCTGCCTCATCGCTTCAAAGTCATGCTTGCGTTTCTGTTGTGAGCGTCCTGAGCCAGCAGCCGCTCATCTTTGACTTACTGCTTGTGTCTTCCTTTCCATTTTTTTAACTGTGCTTTAGTTTTTTCGTCGTCTAGTGTTTTACTGATCACTACTTGTTGTGCATGTTTCACTTTAAACATTTTTTTCACTCATACTCACAGCCTCACACACGTCTTCCCCTGGCCGTGTGGCCTTTCAGCTCAGCGCCCACACACTTTTGCAACAAGCCTGCATATTTGCTAATTTTAAAAAAGCGCCTTGGCTTTCGGTTCAAAGCTCAGCACATGGCGTCCGTGTGATTTATCTAAAACACTGTAGTCCACTTTTCCCCCTTCTAAAGCAATTACTTATTGCATGTTAAGATAGTTGGATTTTTTCCAATGTTGCTGCCTGTTTGCTTGGCTGCTCTCTTTCAGGCAGACGATTTCTCTGACCTAGATATTGTTGCAATTTGATTATACATGGATCAATGTTGTTGTGCCTCCTCATTTGAAAGTTATTGCTGTGCTGCAAAGTTAGCTGCAGCAACTCTTTCACGCAGTCCACACCCTTCGCTTATAGATAGATAGACTGGACAAAAGGTAGAAAACAATGGAAGGCCTTGAACCCCTGACGGGTAACTGCAGGCTTTCTACCAGTTTAAATATGTTTGCAGTTTGACCCAGCATGCGTGTTAGTCAGAGGACCCCACGTTATCTACCAATTTATTTAAAAGCAGTGATCAGATTTAGTGACATTTTCATGATTAACAAGAACTTTTCAAATGCATGGCTCAGTTTCTTACTCTTAGGCCGATGAGAGAAGCTAAAGCTGTAAACAAGGTTGCTTAGTAATATGATTGCCACTATTAGTCATTAATA